AGGAGGAGGTGCTGGTGGGGTAGGAGGAGGTGCTGGTGGGGTAGGAGGAGGTGCTGGTGGGGCAGGAGGCTGTGAGCTGGCCCTCCCTGTGCTTCTTGTAGTCACTGTCCATGTGGTCAATGTTTTCTGTCTTTGGTTCAGGGACAGGAGTCATTCTGTATAGTAAGGGCAGGGAAGTAGAGCAGGACACTAAGCCAGAATCTCTGGCCCTCTCGATTGAGCAGCCTTAACAGACACACCAGTTGTCTGTCTCTTTATTTTTTATATTGGAGATAAATTCAAACTTTCAATGTTGCTGTCTGCTTTTCTTTTTAGATTGAGCACATATCTAGCCTCATCAAACTCTCCAAGGTAAGTTCTAAGGCCTGTTAGGTGGTGGGAGTGAGGGGAAGGTGGGGATGGAGGGTCTGTCTTCTTTGTGGGGGAACCGAATGTGGGCTCAGAGCTGGAGTGTTGTTATTGCCATTTTGGTCCAATCCTTTTTTTGTAAGACTTTCTTGCAAAACTTTCATGTCAGGCTGGTCTCTGATTAATGAATATTGGTCCCTTTAATCATATACTTTGATTTTAGGCCGACGTGGAAAGAAAATTATCACAGATGATTCTTGACAAGAAGTTTCATGGTGAGTAAATGTCACATAGGAGGGCCTGGTCAGAATTTGAAGGGTGTATCTTTAAAGCAGGACTGAGTTTCTCTTGTGACAGTTCTTTGGAGCCCTGGCTCCCTTTGAAGAACGCGTAAGGGGATGGAGAGAGGATTCAGTAGCTAAGACACTTAATTGCTCTTGCAGAGGACCCGGGGTTCAGTTTCCAGCACCCACACCGCAACTCACAACTGCCTGTAACTCTAGTTTCAGGGGATTTGACACCCTCTTCTGGCTCCTGAGGGTTCCTGCATGCATGTGTGCTATGTCTACTCACACATATACACATTAAATAAATGATAGAGGTTCTTTAATAAAAGAAGTGAGAGTATGCATAGCAAATATGTGCTGGGAGAAAAGGAGACGGCTAGGGAGTGGGTCCTTGGTTTCTGTCTGTTGTCTCCTTTTACCTGGTTTGTTGCTGTTTCTTGCAGGGATTTTGGACCAGGGGGAAGGCGTCCTTATCATTTTCGATGAGCCCCCCGTAGATAAAACTTACGAGGCCGCCCTGGAAACCATTCAGAACATGAGTAGAGTAGTGGACTCCCTCTACAGCAAAGCCAAGAAGCTGACATAGGAGGTGAGTGCTGGCCTGGCCCCGCCCCGCTGGGCAGTGCTATCTCCGCCCGCCTGCCGACACCGACCACCCTCCGGGTCCTCACGGCTCCCCATTGACGCTGCTCTGTCTTCTCTTGCAGAGTTGGATCTGTAGCGGTCCTTTGGAGAGTGTGTGTGGCAGGAGAGTGACCCTTGGGGAGATGCTAGGAGATTCTTTTCTTTCTGTTCTACTTTTCGCTCGGAAAGTTTTTAACCTTCATTGGTGCATCTGTATCCAGCGATAGGCGGCCAGTTCTCATGTAATCAGCACTGGCCAACATGGGAGTGGGGAAATTGCTTAAAAAAAAGAAAAAAGAAAAAAAAAGATTCTAAATAAAAGGAAAAAGGCTTACACTACCTAAAGCTGTGCTCTCTGCCTCCTGGGAGAGGGCCGCAAAGCCAGGCACCCCGCCAACCACTGGGGATCCTCATCCACCTGCTGGGCGCCACCTCTCCTCCTCTTGAGAATTGGGTGTTTGCTGACCATCAAAAGCAACGACTTTTTATTCTGTTTGTACTGAACCAAAACAAACAACTGTATAGACTGCTGTTTTCTTTTTTATTTGAAACGAGGCGTTGGTGTTCTTCTCTGCCTTCTGGCCTGTCCACCCTTCCTCTCTGACATGGGCTCCAGCAGGCTAGCTGAAGGGCCAGCTGTGGCACCACCACTACCACCGCGTCCGGCTCTGCTCTGACCTGTCACAGAATGGGAACAAGTCCAGGAGCTAGTGTCCACTACGGCCACACGGGTGCGCAGTGTGGGCCTCAGCCCTCGGTGCCTGCTGTGCATGTGGCTTCTTTAACACAGTAACTAGACTAGACATCAGTGTTTCCACCATCCCTCCTCCCCCTTTGCTCTCCTCTCCTCTCTATGCTCTCTCACCCAGGAGACCATATCCTTTCTCTTTCCTCTAGAGGAGTTGGGCTGTCTGAACTCCATCTGCTGCGCTCTCTCCCTCGCCACCCTTCTTCCTGCTGTCAGATGACCGATCCCTTTTCAAAACAGTGGACATCGGGAATGAGGCTGGGTGGGGTTTTTGTTTGTCCCTTTTTTGTTGGGTTGAAGCACCCTCACGTCCCCTTCCCAGAATGTCTCTCTCTGCCTCCTAAGAGTGTGAGCCGACGACGGGGTGGCGCTGTCTTAGCATGCTTTCTTCCCAGCAGTCCTCAGCAGGCCCCACTGCGCTGTGTCCTTTCTCACCTGTCTTTCCTCTCTTCCTCCCTCCTCCTCCTGCCTCCTTCCGCTGGCCTCCTTTCTCTTTCTTTAGAACCTTTCTCAGATTATCCTTCCAGGTTTTGGTAATAGATTTCTATTTTGTAAAAGGATTTTGTTGTACCAGGTTTTGCATCTTCACTGAATCTGACTGGCTTTTATTTTCCTCTTCAAAATCAGGTTTTTGTTCTCAACCACCTTCTCTCTCCATCATGTCCAGTCACTGTTTTGGTTTTGGCACCATCAATATCAAATGTACAAACGGTTCTTGCTAACCAACACCAGGTATATCTGATGTTCAGATGAGTTCCAATAAAATAATTTTTTTTTCAAAAGGCGTCTTTTCTTGAGTGCTGGAGGGTTTCCAAGCAAGTTCAAGCGTTCTATGTGGCCCCTTCTGGCTTGGTCAGAGCTCTATTCATTACTTAATGAGAGTCTTGTAGCCATGCTGGGAGTCCGTATCTGGAGACCTTTGGCAGGAAAGTTGACCTGTCAGGGGTGAAGTCAGAAATGGAGCTCAGGTGTCTGTTGGGGCAGGAGGGCCAGTGAAGACACGTGGGCTTCATGTCTTCCAAGCCTGTCTGCTTATCTCTTTGTCTGGGAGGTGCTAGGGTGCTAGGGTCTGATGGAGACTATAGGGCCAGCGTCCCGATGGCCAGCCTTCTGTACAGTAGTGCTGCGGAATGTCCAATAGCAGCTGTTTCATGCTGCCCCAGACCCCACGAGTGGGTCTTGTGAGGGGCTCCGGCCTCGGGGCACTGCCCAGCCCCTCTCCAGTCTAGTAGTTTTCAGCTGTAGCTGTGTTCCTCTGTATAACTTTACTTTTAGAAAGTTTTGTTTCTAGAAAGGACTTTAAAAGTCTCCATAGGGATGTGGAGCTGGAGCAGGGTGGGGCGTGTTTCTCAGACCTGGGAAAAGCCCATGCAGCTCAGGACAGGAGCCCTCAGTGTGATGATTCCAGAGCTGCCCTCTCTGGCAGAGCTGCTAGGCATGTTCTGTCAGGCCCTGAAGTGAGGCTAGTTCAGACGGTAACCACAAACCATCCTTTAAAGGCTTAGTGTGAAAGAAATGTTAAGCAGCTTACTAATTTTTATATATGCATCGGAATATTCGGGGCATCTTGGATTAATAAAATATATTAAAATTCACTTGCTCTTTACTTTTTTAATGTAATTATTAGAAAATAGCACATTACCCATGCGGCTGGTCAGTATGGCTCTGAATAACCTCTGTTGGATTGTGCTGCGCTGGACCGTCAGGTTGTGCCACCGTTTCCCTCCCAGGTCTACACAGCTGGCTTAGCTTCCTCCCCACCCTCAGGGTCTGACCATAGGTTGGCCTGGTTCTGGGCAGTCTAGCGGAGGGTCCCCATTTAGGCATTAGCCTAAAAGGTATTGGGGCTTTGTTGGGCATTAATGAGACTGCTCTTGAGAGTACCAGCCAAGAGGGCAAAGAGGGCTGCTCCGGTTCCCTGCCGTGTGCTGGTTACATAATCTGTGCTGCTCAGAAGAGCCACTAGATGCTGCTCTGTGCCCTCAAAGGCAGTCTTCTCAAGAACTAGGGTTCCAAAGCTCGTGGGTGGAACCCTCTCTGTACCCTTGGTCCTGGGGCCCACACGGGAAGTGGTATGTGTACAGCAGCTCTCTGCTGTGTTAATGCATGGGCATCCCGCCTCGCAGGACAGTGAGATAGGGTTTGGGGAAAGGGGCCGGCTGAGAGTGAGAACTCGACACTGGGAAGAAAACCTTCCTGCACGGTTCGCCTGGCTCTGCCTCCTGGGCTCTTGATTCTACATGTCGGGCAGATTAGATTGCCTTTCTCCTTTGCTTCCCTGTTGGAACAGTGAGGGAGGGAGCTGGGTGTCGGGAGGCAGAGGTGGGCTTGAGTGGGCAGGGGAACTGTGGTGTGTGATGGCTACTCATGGTTGACTACACATGAGTTTAACTAAAATCCAAAACTGGAGGGCACGCTAGTGGGGGATTTTTTGCTTAATTTGAAGTAGGAAGATCCATTTTTTTTTTCTTTTTTCTTTTTCAAGACAGGGTTTCTCTGTGTAGCTTTAGTGCCTTTTCTGGAACTCACTTGGTAGCCCAGGCTGGCCTGGAACTCACAGAGATCCGCCTGCCTCTGCCTTCTGAGTGCTGGAATTAAATGTGCCACCACTGCCCCGGCGGAAGATCCATTTTAAATCTGGATTAATTTAATCTTGAGGTGAGAAGACAGACCTTTAATCTGGGCCACACCTGCTGGAAGCCTATATAGGGACATGGAAGAAGGAAGCTTTTGCTTTTGCCTGCTTGCTCTGTCCTTGCTAGCAAGTCTATATGTCTTGGCTGGCATTAGAGCCTCCTTCAGGATTCCAGCGTCTGCTGAAGACCAGCTGAGACATCCAGCCTTTCGAACTGAGCAACTATTGGATTCTTGGACTTTCTGTCCAATAGCTGACCATTGTTGAGAGTTCTGTTGCTCTACAGAACCCTGACTGATAAACTCTGAAGCAAGCTTATCAGGTATGACCCGGGTGGGTAGGGTTTCCGGCAACTTCTTCCCTCAGCATGTAGGTTGGTAGGACCTCCTACTCGTGCTACAAACATGACCTTGCCCCGGCAATGTGAGGAGGCTGGAGTAGCTCACAGAGAGGGTTTTGAAAGTAACGGGGAAGGGCTGGCTGGACAGAAGATAGGAGAGAACATTCATCCAACCATGCTGGAAAAGGGCCATGAACTCTAGGATCAACTGTAAAAGAGCTGGGATTCAGTTGCAGGCAACAGCAGGCCCAGGTTTTTCTAATAGGTGGATTGCAGTCTTCAGAGATCTGTGTATATTTAGGGAAGCAGAACACATTCAACTTCTGCTCAATCCTATAATTTGAAAGAACATAAACATGAAGCCAGCTGAGAAGCTGGAGGAACAGGCTGGCTTTCATCGTCACCTTCCCAGGAAGAGGCATTGATTGGGCCAGCGGGGCTGAAAGACCCTGGGCAGATGACATAGAGCCCACTGTGAAAAGGAAGAGCCGGGGCAGCTCTTTGTCATCAAGAGCAGCTAGGGTTGCTGACAGTCTGAGCCATGAGGCTTGATCTCAGTGTCAGGGTTGAGCCGGGTCTTGCAGGGGCATTCTGTGGAGCTAGTGTGGCTCGAGCCTCAATTCCAGCAGTGAAGCCTGAAGCAGGGAGATTGCAAGTTGCTAGCTAGGAAAGGTCTTAAGTCATACAGTCGCTGGATGCATGAACGGGTTAAGGGAGCTCCTGCTAGTGTGAGCTGTTAGAAAGCCAGTGTGGCCCCGGCCCTCGATCCCACAAGTACTTGTGTACTGAGCTGAATGAAGCCTTGAAGCTCTCACCGAGGCATGTGGACCAGCCTCCAGAACTGAGCCGACACTTCATTACTTTATAGATTACCCAGTGTTAGCTGTTGTGGTCCGGCAATAGAAAACGGGCCACGACTATGTTCTATGAGGAACGTTGTGAGGAAGGGCACACAGCTAAGCTATCTTTCCTGGGTGTTTGATGAGATCCTGGAATTTTTTTTTTTTTTTTGTACACCACAGTGCATTTTCTGTTCTGGTCACTAAGGTCCCTAAACCTTTCCACTCCTGTTGGCAGAGAAATCTCTGGGTACACAAAGAAAATGGCACTTTCTAACCTGGCAGTACTGCGCCTAATGACTCAACAAGATTCCTTTTTTGGGGTAGTTGGCTCAGCTGGCGCAGGTGTCTTGTCAAGGATTCTCTAGGTCCAGGGACGGGAGTTAAGGGTCGTCGGTTTGCGGCTTGTTTGCCAGTTGGAGTCTCCAGAATCAGTCCAAAATGAGTGACTGGTAAACCGGCAGTCGCCTTTGTGAAGGGTATGGAGGGGTGCTTGGGAGCTATGCGTCCGTGGTCAGAACCAGAATATTCTGCAATTTCACTGTCCCCCAATCTCAAAACGGGCAAACCAGAGGCTGGCCTGAAGGCGCAGCTGCTTCGGCTTTGACACAACCGGTGATAGGATCTGTGGGCCGTCCTCGCCCCGCTGGCCCGGCTCTCCGAGTCCTAGGGGACGACGGGCTTTTACGGGATGCGGCTGTCCCTTACCTGGCACCGGGGCCACTCTTCACACGGCCCGCGGCCTCAGCGGCGGGGGCCGCGGCGGGAACAAAGGCAGCACGTGTCTGGGCGGGGTCCGCCCTT